TTTTCTTTTGTTTAAAAAATGATTGGTAATTTTTAAATGAGTTTAAATACTAATTATAGTTTGATACATTCCAAAGATTTCAAGATTTCAAAGACCAGCAAATTGTTAGTTTAATACATTCCAAAGATAAAATAGTTTAATACATTCCAAAGATTTCAAAGACCAGCAAATTGTTAGTTTAATACATTCCAAAGATAAAATAGTTTAATACATTCCAAAGATTTCAAAGACCAGCAAATTGTTAGTTTAATACATTCCAAAGATAAAATAGTTTAATACATTCCAAAGATTTCAAAGACCAGCAAATTGTTAGTTTAATACATTCCAAAGATAAAATAGTTTAATACATTTCAAGATTTCAAAGACCAGCAAATTGTTAGTTTTGGAGTATTACAGGTACAGGCTAATGTTTGCTAAAGCTTGTCAAACTTGGAATCGCTTTAAAAAAGCTTGTGAAAAAAAAACCTAAATAAATTGCTAAAAATGACATGAAATATTTACAGAATCATAACATTAAAAAAATAAAAATAAATAAATAAAAATGTTGTACATGTAGCGCTTGGAGTGTACATTAATTGTAAGGGAGATGGACTTTATTATAAAGATCTCTAATTAATTGTTTGTATTAGGATATTAATTAGTTTGTTTTTAAGTATTTTTAATTTCATACATTTAACTTGATTCATCTTTATTATAGTTCTAATGTTTTTACATCACACAGTAGAAGTATATAGCAGGTTACATAATAATAATAATATTTGAAAGTAAATATGCATTTGGAATCAAATGATGTTGAGCTTGTAGAATTAAAAATCATAAGTTTGACAACAATTTAAATACCATTAGTTTTCTCAACACCATAGCTACAAATTTATTTGCAAGTTTTTTTGCATGTTGTATTTTATTTTGAATGGAAATTTTATCTTAAATTAAGAGATAATTTCTTGTTTAACAATAACATGACTACAATGACTGATATGTGCTTGATAAATAATGAGCTAAAGCTATATAAAAAATGAGCTTAATATAAAATGTCTCTAGCTACATAAAATTTGTACATAAGAAAACCGTGAGAGAATTTTTTTTTCTGCACCAATCAAAAGTCAACAATCTACCTAGTAATGAAACAAGTTCTTTATCAGCAAAGTACAAGCAAACTATATCGCCCTAGGTACAAGACTTAATAGCCTCATGAAAAATGTCATCTATTAACAAACCTGGTTTGATAGAAAACTTATTGAATATTGCATTTAGTTCTTAAATAACAAACAATATAAGAAACTATAAACAAATTATAGAAAAGTATTTTTTCTAGTATTGTAAAATAACCTTTGATACCAGTGGCAAAAATTGACTTTAGACCATCAAAAAGTGTTTATCGATTTTAACTTTTGATAGCAATGCTCTAAAATCAACGAATCAAAATAAAGTTAAAAAATAACTAATTATAACTAATTACTTGACTAAAAAGCAAACTTAGAATTTTATAGCTTTCAAATAAAGTAGGGTGGCCCTAGATATGAAGAGGCTCTAGGTATATGAACTTCCCATCATGTAATACCATAATTAAGTACATACCCCTCTACCAGGAACATCATAACTATGTCTGCATGTTGTCAAGTTTGCATAAAGCACCATAATTGAGTACTATGTTATGTAAATGTGCATGGAATACCATAATAGAGCATTAAATAACTTCGCAAATCATGTTTAAAAGGTGTGGTATGGTTATATGAATAAGTATTTTTTAAAAGGATTTGCTCAAAATGTTTTGAGAAAATCTGCCATTTTAAAAAACAGATTCATGAGGTATAAAGAACAGAAATCAAGATTGAAATGGTAACACATAGGTTTTTTATTTTGGTTCAAAATTAACCTGGTACATTGTTTTGTACAGGTATTTTTGTTTATAATTTGTATTTTTTATATTTTAACCTTTAAATTTTTGTGTTAAAATAATAAATAAAATTATAAATTTAAGAAAAAGTATATAAAATATTGAAACATTTGAAAAATAGTTTAAAAGTTGTTAAAACCTTTGAAACCTTTGATAACATAGAGGTTGACTTTAATGATAATAACTTCTCTATCTAGTGTTAAAGTAAAAAAAGTAAAGGTTGTTAAACATAATAGTTAAAACTCATTTGCCTGTTCTGTAAATTTTAGTCTCTTGCTATTAAAGAATAATAATTTAATATTAATATTTAACATATTAATTTAATTTCATGCAACATTAACTGATATCAGATATTAAAGTAAATGGCAAATATCCATGATTACACATTTGTGTGGTTTGAAAAGGTTTCATCATGCCATTTTTTTTAAAAATATATAAGGAATTAAGACACATTTTTACAACCATTTAGATCTCTTATCTTTATCTACATTTAAAGTAGGGTCTTATATCATGATTTCTCATCTCCTAGGTAAGTTGCCTTTACCATGCTTAGGAGCTTTACCTGCCTCAATTGGTAGTTTATTAACTAAAATATTGTAGCTA